CACACAATATAAAACACGTCCATCGCAAAGATAAATAAATTATCCTTTTTGCGATACCCCGGGGTACCAAATAATACAAACTGGCCGAGGCAATTAAAGACTTTATTTCTGGGACACTATTTTTGTCCAGGGGTGTTACTTAACTCCGCGACTGGGGTACCAATCAATCCGAAATCAGTGCCACACTCCGCGATGTCGAAACGCAGCGAGGACGACTGCGCCGAAACCCTGAACGCTCGCACGCACCGTGGTGGTGGTGCATCGTAGTGTACGGCTCGTCGAGATGAGTCGATTGCCGCATCGCCGACCATCAACAGACTCAAAATGACTGCATCACGGACATTATGCGAGAGCCGGGGTACTATGGTACCCTGGGGTACCGCCATAAGGTTCATATGGTGCTACAAAATATGAACACGGGCTTTTACCTTGCTGCATATTGCAACCCTTACAGAACTTGCAGAGTTACGGTTATGCATCGTGTTCAAATTGCTGGCATAATGCCTGGAAAAGACTTATGGGTTTTTTTCTTGTCCCCTGTTATAAGGTGACATCAAGTCCAGACAATCTTTCAGCACCCAGCTAAAGCAGAAGGACATGAACAGGCCCAACTGGTTTTACATTTTGGCGCCTCTTGACGCGAAACTTTGACATTTCCGAAGTATTCAGGAGAGGCCATGTGTTATGTTTCGACTGTTACCTTCTAGGCTCTGCATAACCACACACGCTCAATTATATCTGTGCGAGAATTATAAAAAAATGGCACAGCGCATGTGCGGTATACAAAGGGAGATGCAGAGTAAGACAATGTGGGCAGATTATAAAGAATATCAAGGACGAGTACTGTGCAGGACTCAAAGCACCGGCATCGGACAGGGAGAGGGCATTTGCCAGAAAACTGAAATGAAAATATTTGTGATGGTTACTTAAGATGACAATTCGGTAGAGTACAGTAACGCACATGTCCCAGCACCTAGGTGCAAGGAGAGGCTTGTGATACAGCATCAGGGATCAGAACCGATCATCCATCTGATCCATACCAGCCAGCACACATATGGCTCAGGGACACAAATCCTGAAGCAAGGTTAGATTCAAGTGCCATTCTGCAGTGCCTGTGACATCTTCCCACACACCATCGCTGATATATTATCCACACACGACGTGTGCCCCAATTGAGGCAGCATAAACAATGTGCACTTATATCCTGAGCACGATTGACCACAGCCGACATGCTTTGACAACAAAAAAACCATCGCAACGGCACTGTCCTTCCCATATGGGACTCACACCTCCAACAATACTTGACAACCTAATGAAGGCAAAACAAACCAGCTCAGCAGTGTCTGTGGAAGATAAACGCAGCGTGTTGAACGCGTTTATTTTAACAAACCCAGCACGGTTTAACGTTGCCCCTTAATTCCATGCTAACAGGCTCGAGGCAGAGAGACTGACAGTGGGAGGTCACCTGGGAAAATACCGTGTTCTTCCTTTAATGATGTTGCTGGTATTTAAGGGGTGCCGCGGTGGCGAGATGTCAACTACCTTGCCTGGTATGCAGGAGGTCGTGGGTTCGATTCCGACCCTGACGCCTGCTTTATATCTGGAGTTTGTGTGTCGCTCTCCCCGTGGTCGCGTGGATTTGTCTCCGGATCATCCTGTTTTTGCCTCCACATTTAGAATCAGCATGCGTTTAGAGTATTCGGCTGCTCTAAATTTACACGTGATAAGCCACTTCATTGAGCTATCATTTATGAAAGCCAGGTCCGCTTCCAAAAAGGAGCCATACAGCTCAGTGGACCCTTACCTGGTAACCACCTTCATGGGTAGGTATGCTATTATAAACCCCACAAATTATTAATGCCTACAATGTGGACAATAACTTGAGAGCTAAGGAAATGCCACAATACGTTGTGTATCCACGTGAACAATATACGCAGATGCTTCATTTGTGAGCGTGATGACACAGTGTTGAGTATATTTGCAGACTGCCGATGCCAATTCCCTTCTCATCTGCAGCCGTGTCCAATCCACTGCTGGATGAAGGCCTCCCAACATGGCCCAGCCACGTGTCACCGTCCTGAGAAGTTGTCAGTGTGAAACACCGGCCATCAGCCATTCCAGTCCCCTTACATTGTACCTACTGCTTCCTGACAAACAACCTCGAGTATGTATTGTAGAGGGGGCACACGTACCAATAACCTCTGGCATACGAGCGGTGTTGCATTTCTTGTGCACATCTGACCGCTGATGAGCCCCTGACGCGCGAAACCGGTCCCGAGTTGTTGCATGTTAACCGTCTGTCCAATAGGCCGATGTGTTAAATTGGGTGATGATCTATTTGATTGTTTTATATTGTGTACAGGAGGTACTGTAACCGTTTACATGTCATGTAATACTGGATACCGTCTGATGGTAGCGATTGCCGTATACGTAAAAATGTAATATGCAGCTTGCGTAATGTGTGCATATACTGTAAATTATTTAGAGAGTACTAATGATAGTACTCCACAGAATGTAATGTACTCGTAAAACAATGTGCAGACCTGACTTTTCAATGTATATCTCCAACAGTATTTCACTGCCGTGCGAGTTGCACACGCACAGTATAGTTCCTAAATAAATCAAATTAGGACGAGCGGAGAAATCACGCTCACTAAGACCCATTCCTACCCCCTGGACACAACAAAGAGAAAGATTCCCCCCGTATAGCCTTTAACAGACTGTTGTGACAAGTGCCGTTAGCGAGTAGCACCTAATGAAGGGGGGGGAAGCCAGCACCACGCCCGGCCGCCTTCGTCTCCCCAGTGGCGATGCTTTTACACAACGCACCGGGGTACTCATGAGGCCGAGTAGACCTAGGGGAGGCCCAGGACCGGTCCAGACAATCGATCGTCAGTGGTGTTGACCGTGAGCGGGAATGGAACTCGGGTAGTCGGGTTCGTGGCGCAGCGCGCTAATCGCTGCACCACCGCTCCCCCTGTCCACAAGGGGCCTGTACCCACAGACGACACCGGGGCCTCGCCTAGTTCCACCGCGGGGTAACCGCGTCGCCGGGTCGGCGGGAGCCGCCGTCGCGAAGCGGTGCACTCCGGGGCCCCCCCTTCGTGTCACTGACTTAACACGGTACTATTTTGTTGTTGTTGTGTTACCTCCGTCGATGTTATTGCTGTTGCGCAATCGTCTCTACACGATCTCTGAACTATGAGACGGTGTCGTGTGTGGTGGAGATGTCGAGAGGAGAGAGGAAACAGTGCGCCGAGGAGTGATGGATAACGAGATTGATGGTAAGATAGGGAAGGCATGGGAGCGATGTTGTCTATTGTGTTGCGTCTGCCAGTTCACGAAGATAATGCAACAACCCAGTTGATGATAAAACACGTACTGTAGTTTAAACGCACAGACATAACTCTGGCGTCGACATATTTGTTCGTATCAATCTGCGTCGAGCCCGCTCAAGCCGGTAATCTCGTGACTTTGCTGTTGTTGTTATTGTTATGTGGAGGAGGGAATGCTGGAGGGGTCTGACTGGGGTACCCGGCTGGGCGTGTGGTGGTGGCGGTGTGTCAGGGGTCATGGCTCTTTGTGTAAATACATTAAACGGCGGGCAAATTAGGCATTAAAGTACAGGTAATTGCTGCGCATAATGACCTCCGTTTGGAAAGTTCCTCTGTTTCGACAACACTGTTCTCTTGATAATTAATATGGTTGTTGTTGTTATTATTATGGTGCAAGTTAGTGGAGTGTTATGGCCATCAAAATCCACGTGGTTTTTTTTTCCATCGTGGTGGGATGAAATTCCCACCAAGATGCAGAGCACGCGGCATTTTGTATTCCAGCGGACAATTCGGACAGCACGAGGCTGGAAGAAAGATATTTGACCACTTACAAGCCGTATTATTGTATGCAGTACTATTGCGGATTCTGGTACCTGTATGTGTTTGTTCGTCTCAAAAGTCGCAGCTGGTGGAGGCGATAATGGTGGACATGTGTCCTCTAGCCCCCCGTATTTGAGTCTCCATCTCTCTCGCACTGCTTCCGGAGAATCGATCGTGGACGGTCGCCTATTGCCCAATGCACAAAGTGTCAGAAACTAAAGTGTCAGAAACTAAAGTGTCAGAAACTAAAGATGCCCCCCCACTACAGACGCAGCCGTATTACAAAAACAAACTTGTGGAGCAGCAACAAGGCGATACTGTGTCATTGCAAATATCGCGAAGTTCTCACCATCCAGTCTCCAATGTCGGCACTTCATCATCATCATCTTTCATTTCTCTCGGACTCCTTGTCTGTCCCCCCCCCCCCTTGTTCGTCTCTTGCCATCAACCATCTATTTCTATTTCTACCGCTATGCCAACGCTCCCTTATCTCGCGTCCTTTACGCCTGTGAATGAGTGTCCAGTTCCCCCCACCAGAATCAATGTCTTCCCAATGCATTCCGCCCCCATTCTCCTCTTGTTCCCTTCCCATTGCATGCACTCTCCCATTCACACTCCCCCACCTCCACCCTCCACACTTGCCTGTGTCCACGTCGAAGTGATTTATCATTGTGCTGCAAATTGTCCAACGTCTACCCTCCATCAAACCTCGCACAAAATATCACACGTAAACATACAACGCACACGTGTGCTCAACGCCTTTCGCACCGTACGTGCTAAGTAGGCGGAGGTGCGCAACATGCAATATATTGGTACATGCAAACGATGCAGAGTTATCGTCTGCACAACAGCTTACAACACAAGACGCGAATGCGCGTCGACGACACCCGTAGTAACAACAACTCTTTATAATTCCTATAAGACATATAAATCCACGGCCAGTGAACAAGGTTGGACAAGTCGGAGCGAGACACGGTCGAGATGACGAGCGGTGCGAGCCCTGGGTGAACTCACTCCCCCAAACGCATCCGTGAAAGAAAACAACAACAACAAAAGGGCTTCACGGCTTATCGGATTCCTCCGGTGCGCGTCAAGACTCTGATGGTGATGCGACGGTGAACTCACTTGAAGCGGCCTCCGCAGTGTTGGCACAGCTCGCCCATCCAGCCCTGGTCGCACACGCACTGGGGCTGCTGCTGCTGCTCTCCCGTGGGCGATGAGGAGGTCGAGGAGGAGGAGGACGAGGAGGACGACGACGAGGAGGAGTCGGCGCATCGCCCGTTGACACACGTCCAGCGATCGCACTCGGCCGGGCCGGCCTCGGCTCCCGCCCAGCAGCAGAGGAGGGCGCACAGCGCGGTGTAGGCTGCGGCGTAGCGGCACAGGACGTGGCCGCAACCCGCAGGGCTTCTCCTTGCGCCGGCACCGCCGCGGCTTCGTCCACCGCCGAGTAGCGGTAGACCTCCGGCGACGACGAGAGGACCTGCTCGACGCGCACCGCCAACACGTCCACCTACAACCGCCGGTGGAGCTTCTCCCGGCCGAGCTGCACTTGGGGGGCCACGACCATCACGACCGCCTCCTCCATCACCGCCTCCTCTTCCCGGTGGGCTTCGGAGAGACCCGGCGTCACGACCTTCGCCTCCCGCAGATCCGAAGGCGCGGGACGCCGCCGCCGCCGCCGGCCCCCTGCGCCAGGCCCGCGGTGTCACGAGAGCAGCCGCGGAGACTCCCGCAGCCGGAGCCGCCATATTCAGCGGCGTCTCTCGACTCTGCCACCACCAACACCACCCCCCCACCCCGAACCTTCTTCGCCGTGTTCCCTCGGCGGGGTTTGCGACTCCTTCCTCCTCGTAGTTTTATTTTCCTACCACCCCCCCACCACCACCACCACCCAACGCGAGACGGCGCTTGAAGTGTCTTTTTATTTGACTCTCGCCTGCTCGCCTGCCTGCCTGCTGTGCGAAGAAGACTCGGGCTGGCCGCGTGGTTTCCCCTGAATGTTCGAAGACTCGGCAGCGGCAAGCAGCAGCATCATCATCGTCGTCGTCCTCCTCCGCTTCGCATTGAGCCTCCTTCTACCCTCCCTCGAGTAATTCCCAACAACAACCACCACCACCACCAACCTTCGGTGCTTTATCAGCCCCTACCGTCGCTCTCGTCGTTGTTAATATTGCCCAATACGTATGTGTGGATCCTTTCCGTCCGCGGACTCGCTTTAGTGATTCCGCTGCCGCTTCTGCCGCCGCTGGTGGTGGTGCCTTGGGGGGAGGGAGGGAGACAGGAGGAGGAGGAGGGAGACAGGAGGAGGAGGAGGGAGATGCTGAGAGGGGACTTCAGAGGGAGGGGAACCACCGTGAGAGGGCTTGGTGGTGGGGGGGAGAGACGTTCAACATGCAGAGTGGTGCCGCTCCCCCTTTTCCTCTTCCTCCCCGTATAAACCTCCTCTCCCCCCACTGCTCAAGTGAAACGGGGTTCGTTCACCGGCTCCCTAGCGCCCCCTGACACAGGCATTGCTCACTGATGCTCACTGGATGCTGCTGCACGCGCGCGGCGCTGCAAATTGTCGTCGCGAAGTCGCCTGGGGAACTTCGGCAACAGCAGAGGGCGCCCTTCTCGCTGACTCTGATTGTTAAACAATCCGTGAGAATTCAGCGCCTTGCCATTGAGAGGTCGTCGTCAGCCACGATCACGCCACCGCCTTCCTCTCGCGCTCCTGATAAAAACAACAACAATCTATCAAGTGCCTGCACATTTGATCTCAGTGGTCTGTTTACTCCGTGAATGCCCGAGATACCCCACTAAAATTAAAACTATTTTTTTAATAACAGGTTTTTTTTATTTAAAGCTTTCGTGACTGCAGGGATTCATATTCTTGGTTATTTCGGTAAAGTCACGTAGAAGGGAAACAATAAAATAATAAAAATATATTTAAAAAATTTGTGTTTAGTTTGCTGTCCCCCCCCGCGCCTCCAATTAGCACGGTCGGCTAAGTACGGTGCGAAAGAAGTGCAACAACAACAGCATAAAATAATATGTAGGAATTATTGCGAAAACAATATTTTACTTCAAAGGCTTTTAAATGTCTCCCACCAATCTCAGTGCGGTACAGGGTGCTTCAAAAAAACGTTGACACTTCGGAGAATTTGCAACAGTACCACGAGAAATGTTCCTCCGGGCTCTGGAGATCACCTGGAGAAGATTCCAGGCACGTGTTGACAATGACGGCGAAGCTATTAACATACGTTTGTTATCATGGTCCATTAAAAACGATAGTCCCACATGAGTGTTAAAACTATTTTGAAGCACTCTGTATAGTGCACGTATTAAACCTTTAACAATGTTGTCCTCTGTAAGACGTGGAGCCATTGCTTTCACAATAATCAATCAGCCGTTGAGAGGGTAGCCATTCGAAATCAGTGGTGTGTGTATAAATGAAACAGCCTGTATTTTGCTGTAGATCATGATTATTCGGGGTGTACTCCGACCCATTCGATCTGACGGTTCGGGAGATCGGAATTAGAATGTGTATTTAGACTGGATGAATCTGATGAGCTATAAAGCTCTTTTTCACAGATAGTCCAGTCAAGTAAAATCGGCTAACCATTCCGAAAGACCCAATAATAGTCATTCCTGCAGTCACGAAAGCTTTAAGTCAAAGTTCATACCTAATAGCTCATGGAAGAATTATCCGCAGCACCACTCGCAGACGGGCGCCGTTTATTTGCCAACCCCCCCCCCCCCACCGTCTGATAACGCCATCATCCCGCTGCACATTCACAGCAGCATTCAATCTGCCCAGACTTTTAAGAGACACATAAAAGGACTCTTTCGCCTGGCTTTCATGTGACACCGAGCTTGGCTCCATGCCTCTGTCGCGGGCATTTATGTCAGTGAAATATTGTGCAAATTATATGCTTCATTGTTTCTTTAATTGAAGAATGAGGCATCATTCTATGGTTGAGATATTTCATTGCTTTGTAGAAAAATATTATATAGGTCCACTGGCTTTGTGTCTCTGATGATGTCCAACTATACCATGTGGTCCACCACTCTTGGGAAAATAACAACGGAAAATGTAAGAGCCAACGAACTACGTAAGCAAGCCGGGTTTATGAAGAGGTTTTGTATCATCGATCGCATATGACTATCAATCATATTCTGAAAAGGATCATCATTAGCCATGATCTATCCCCTGACCAGTGCAGTAACTACTGCACCACTCCACTTAAATATCCTAGAAAAATGCTCCTATTTTTAGTTGTGTATATATATGGCACGTGTCACTTAAACTATACATTGGCAACCAGTGAAAGCTTTAACCACAGTGATGGGGGAACGGAGCCAGCTTGATGAATGTATTTCTTCACCGTCTTGCTATATCACAACTAAAGAGCGACATGCACGGATGTGCTGTACTGTATTGCATGGGTGCTCATGCAAAGCTTACCGGTACACAGCTCAACATAATAAAGACACAAAACAACCTCAGCAACTTTCTTATGAACACTCTCAGAAAAATATATCATACATTTTTTGGCCAATAGCCTTTTCTACTAATATATAAGGGCCTTGGCCCCAAAATGTACATGCTGCTATATATTACCATATTTATATAGTAGTGTATATGATCTTCTTTGGTTCTTTCGGTAAAGTCACGTAGAATGAGAATAAAATAAATTGATAGAATAAAATAACACAATAAAATTCTCACGACGTTTCGGCCACAACACAAGCGGCCTTCATCAGGCTGATGAAGGCCGCTTGTGTTGTGGTCGAAACGTAGTGAGAATTTTATCGTGTTATTTTATCAATTTATTATTTTATTCTCATTCTACGTGACTTTACCGAAAGAACCAAAGAAGATGAATCCTTGCAGTCACGAAAGCTTTAAATCGAAGTGTATATGATTTTTATAAGATTGTGTATTTAACATGTGATTGTATGCTACTGTTAATGCCCTTTTGTTTAGTTATAGTACCATTTTATATACATTTAAATTTCCACGATGTCGATTTCGATATCGCATTTGCTCATACATTGTTGCTAGGTATTTGCTGTATGGCACTCACTAACTTTGAGTACTCATAATTTGTGACTCACCTCCGATTAACACGGTTGGCTAAATACGGTGCGAAAGAAGTCCAACATACATGTGAATATACAATACTGTATATTTCACCATGGGTGTATGAATGGAAACATTAACCCCCATAGGTTTTGTGACCTCTTTGTCCAAAGCATATAGTACATAACGTACTGTGCCTGAGAAAGCATTTGGTTCAGGAGCTGCCAGAACACATGCTGTTTTGCCCACATTTAGAGATGTTCGGTTCAGTTCATTTATTAGGTATAGCCCTGTGAGCCATTCGGCTCTTAAATCGGGTGCAACCGCAACAAACAAAAAAACATGAACAAGAAAAACATCTTAAAGTGAATACGCACAACAGAAAAATCCAGGAAAAAAACAGCAAAGTCTTCCAAAAAAAGCACCGTATATCAATGCTGTGTGTAAAAATCCCAGTGGGATGCAAATCAAACAATAACAACCATAAGACAATTTAGATTAAAGTTATCAGTCTAACTCTGTACAAAGTGTTCACAAACAACAACAAAAAACTCTCATCTATGCTTCACAATTGATATTGAATAGCTGTATCAAGTGAATAGCTGTATCAAGTGATACAGCTATTCAAGGAGGCAACACAAGCTTCCGTCTTCAGGTGGAAACTGTCACAGCAAAATTGCTGTATCACTTGATGCAGCTCTATCACTTGATACAGCAATTTTGCTGTGACGGTTTCTGTATCACTTGATACAGCTATTCAATATCAATTGTGAAGCATAGATGAGAGTTTTTTGTTGTTGTTTGTGAACACTTTGAACAAAATTGCTGTATCAAGTGATACAGCTGTATCAAGTGATACAGCAATTTTTGCTGTGACGGTTTCTACCTGAAGACGGAAGCTTGTGTTGCCTCCGTAACGTCGTGATTTAATTTAGTTGTTTTCATTTATTTATTTTAGTTACGTGACTTTACCGATAAAACCAAAGAGTATAGCTTCGAACAGCCAGGTGAACTGCATTTACTAACAGCACACAACTCATGATTTATTTTCCATTCTTTCAATCGTTTTCTTCTTTATTTCATCTACTATTATTTATTAACGAATGTATGTCTTTCTTCTTACATCTTGAGATTCGCTTATGCCCTCTAAACACACGTACATAATTTCGTAGCATTACTGATTTAAATTCTACAGTTTTGCTAAGCCCACAGAAATGCTAAGCTTATAAGCATGTATGACAAACGCTTCAATTGGCATTCCCACTGTGCAAGGTTGTACATCTCTGTAGATGAAGATATTCAAGTTGCTGACTTCACAATGTCACGATCGCATACAAACTGAGTTCAGCTGCAGGCTCAAGTTAGGAGTCAACACAAACATTTCAAAGGCGCCAGTAAATTATGTTTATCTCACGATCGCCACCACAACATGAGCCTTGTGGCAATTTTTTGTAGTTTGTGTAGGTTAAAAATATTTTCTGCGAAATAAATGATTGTAATTAATTGAGTGCCAATTAACACACCTTAAATATAGTGTATTATATTATGTGCCTGGCACTGTATACATACTGGTAAAATGTGCAAAGTCCAATTGAAATGTCCTTTCGAAATAGTAAGCAGTTTCTGTAATTCATTGTAACAAAAAACACTGGTGCTTTGCAAACATTTTTGGATTTAATTATTGCATAATTAAATAATAAACCGATACCAATTACTCGTGTGAATCTTTGCATGCTAGTTTTTAACATTTGGACTATTCTATGCTCATGTATAGATACATTCTTAAGACTTGTCTCTTTCTTTCTGTCTGCCTTACCTCTTTCTCTCTGAAAGAGACACAAGGACAGACGTGCAAAGAGACAGAGATATAGAGGCACACAGAGACACCCACAGAGACGCTGTGTTTCCAAGACCCAAATTCATCCAATTATATGTACCTCTGGGTATTAAGCAGCCCCTATTCTGACATTCACTGTGGGAAAATATGGCATAGCTGCAATTATCCATTAAATAAAATCGCGGATAAAAGCAGCGACACATGTTTCCAATTACTTGCTATTATCCACAACATTTTCTTGCAGATAAATTGAGTAAATTTGCAGACCACCTTGCAGATAATATGATCCATTAAATAGATTCCCCACATTGACACTAATAAAATTAGTTGGCCTGTAATCCCCAAATACTCTTTGTGATATGCTGTAAAAGCAATGCAGTGTAGTTTCACATGTTCAAATAAATCTTCACGACAGTACAGGAGAAATAACTCTTATCCATTACACCAGTGGTGGTCAATACATTGATCATGATCTATGGGTGAATCGCAAAGTTTTTTTTGTGGGTCTCAGGA